AAAAAAAAAAAAGAAAAAAAAAAAAGAGAAGGACTCAGACTGTACGGTATTCCCATTTTCCTTATTGTAAGGAGCAATTGTGCTCCAATCTGAACATTTGACTTTGAACAGGGACATGTCCCAGTGAGCTCGTTCTGCATGGAAAATGCACTGTAACACATCTGACCTACCAAATATTGTAGCTTAGCCAGTTTCCCTCATTAGCTGCTCTCCAGCATCAGAAGAACGTGTTGTATCTTATATAGCTAAAGAATGGTCAAAAATTCAAACTTTATGGAGTATGGTCACTATGGAATGTCGTATGCTTTCACATCACAGGAAACTATGGGGATAAGTCCAACCACTTGAGCCATGCTTCTTTGCCTCTACACATTCCTTTCTGACATCCTTATCTGGCTACCTCTGGTTCACAGGAAACCACATAGTAAGCATTCTCTCTAGCATAGCACGCTTCCTCTTTCCTGGCAATTTCTATGCAATCATCAGATTCTCCTATGAAAATGAAATTCTCAGGGCTGACCCTTCTGTCCTCCCCCCTCCTCCATTCCCCATCTCTCTTCTAGTGGATCACGTTGTGAAAATAAGTTCTGCAAGGCTGGCCTTGCATTAAAGAATGCACTTTCCACAGTATGATAGATTTCCCAGTGGTAAGTGATACCGTGTGACTCTGACCCAAGCATATATGTGGTGAGATTTATTTCTCCCATTGTTGGGTATTAAGAAGATAGAAACTTGATCTAACTATAGTGTTCATGGTGGGACCTTTGGAGAGAGATTATAGTTACATGAAATCATCACAGCAGAGCCCCATGACTGAACTCTGGTAGCCTTATCAGGTGAGGGAGAAAGATGAAAAGAGACACACATTCATCACACTATGTCCCTCAGGTGCTTCCCTCTCACACTCAAGACGAGGCTAGCAAGAAGGCCACCCACAGATATGGTCCTTCAATTTCCTAAACTGTGACATAAATAAAACTCTTTTCCTTATAAAGTTACCCAGTATTTGATGTTTCATTATAGTAATGGAAAGTGGACTAAGTGGAGTAGCCATGTAGAAACATGTCCACCCCCATCTGCCACCCTCCTCCTTTAAACAGTGTTTGGTACCTAGCCTATTTGAACCACTTCTCCCTGTCCTCCCTATAACCAATCGTGTGCTGCCAGTGTATCAGTCAGTTTCCCAAAAGGAAGGAGAGGAAGGGTGGGATGTAAGGAGACAGAAAGGAAGAGAAATACAGAGAAAGGGCAGAGGGAGGGGAAACAGGAAAGACAGGAAGGAAAACCTCATTTGCATCATTTGCCAATGATACAAATATTTCTAATATGTTTCTGCCATAGCTGACTTCAAATTACTAATACTTTAACCTTTGAATGGTGATGAAAATTTTGCAGTCATATTCCATAAACTGGTACCAACTGGTTTATTTGATTACATTACATGGCGGGTGTCAGCATTCTGACCACTAGGATATAAGTTACGTATTTCACCTTTTTCATGCTTCTGTCACCAATACAGTGTGGCATAGAATAGGGACTAAAAAGATACTTTAGAGGACAGAAATATTTATTCTTGAATCATTTCTTCTCTTCTCCTACATGTTTAGGGTTCTAAAAAATAAAAAATCTAAAACAAACATCCAAGAAGCTCAATACTTCAAACTGCATCGATGCAAACATTTTATGCCTATTCAAAGTAGATATTTTAGGTCTCTAAACGTACTTGTTGGTTTCGTTCACAGGCACAGAGATCCCATTTGGAATTAAATCAACATCTTTTTGATCCCAGTATATCTGTAACCAAAAATATAATCAACTGATAAACATGAACATGAATCTGTCACTATTATCCATACATCTTCCCTAAAATTTTACAGAAATTAATTATCTTTAAGCATATTGATATTTCATATTAAAGGTTCTATAATAAAATTATTTTAAAGTAATAGATAATGGCTGGAGATATATCTTAATTGTATAATACTTTATTGGCATAAGTGCAATCTCCAGCAACTCCTTATGACACTAAAACATACAAACAAACAAACAAACATACATACATACAAACAAACATACAAACAAACAACAAAAGCTGATTAAAGCCAACTTATAATCTAGATTTCTTGCTACTCACAGAAAAATACATGTTAAGTTCTTCAAAATCACCAGCCTCACAATTTAGAACTTCTGGCAAATTCCTATTGAAAAATTAACTTAAAATGATATATTTGATACTATAAAATTTCAAAGTAATAATCATTCAATGGGGAAAATTAAGTAATACAGACATGCACAAAATTCAGTATAAATTTTGTCTCCTACTCCTTGCCACTTATCTTCCTAGAATGATCTTGATTTAGAATTTGATTTGTTCGTCTACTCTAGCTCATCGGCAGTGCTGAGCATTGTGAACATGATTATGCAGACAAGATTCTAAGCAAAGTGTAAAGTCCAGGAGTGTCTTTGGTTGTTACAGTTAAAGGTTGTCATCTAGCGACTATTAAATACACCACATTCCCTGAACAACCTGCCACAAAGAGAATTAAAACAACCACATGCCTGTGGTTATGGTTCTGTAGATGCCCTTGTTTAAAGAGTGAAGAGGCCTGGGGTTGGATCCCCAGTCAAAACATTCAAATCAGAAAAGACCAAAATGTCAAAACTGCCACTCTTGAGAAACTCTTCTTTAACAAAAACCTACCCCACTAATGGACCATGAGAAAAAAGACTCATTTCATTCAATTTGCTATCAACACTCTGAGAAAAATTTGTGTCAGACAAAGGGCATTTTATGTGTATCCACTTAGTCCCTAGTGAACCTGAACATGCTTTGAGTTTTGGGTAAACCATATACATATTCACCCATGGCACTATATCTTTATAAACCACATGGACATGCACTTATGGTACTAAATCAATTTATAAACCATATAAATGTACTATAGCACTAGATTAATAAACCACATCTATAGACATGGACTTATAACACTGTATCTATTTATAAATTAAATCTCTGTATAAACATAGTCATAGTACTATATTTTTACGAATCACATCTATCTATGCAATCTAATCACACTATATTTATAAACCATATCTCTGTATATATATACATACTTATATCACTATATCTATTTATAAACCATATCTGTGTACATGTACCTATCACAGTATATTTATTTTAAATTGTATGTATATATGAACTTATAACAGTGTAATTATAAATCATGTCTACACATATACGTACTTATAGCACTAATTTACTTATAAATCACATTACATTTATTTATAAGTATAGCACTGCATCTGTCTATAAGCTACATATCAATGCACTTTTACATTGCATACATTTGTAAGCCATCTCTATGTATGTATATGCACTTAGAGCATTATATACATTTGTAGGATAAAAAGGATGACCCATATTAATCCTGAGAACTCCCCTAAGTTCTTTCTACCTTGATAAAGAGCCCAGGTTCAAACTCTTTATTATATTAGTTCTCTTATCAGAGGAACATCTGATTTTTCTCCATTTCTGACGGCTTACTCTATTTACTGCTAATGAAAGCCCATCTACAGGACACATAATATTAAAATTGAAGGCCTTGCCTGTGTTGTGTGTGATATTATTTATACTTAAAAAGATGAGACTTAATGCTGCTTTCATAAGGCAGATATATGTACTTACTTTCCCAAGAAAAGACTAAGTTCTTTTAAGTCTTCCAAAGATGGCTTTTGGTTCAAAAGTTTTTTATATAAGGCCAGTGGGAAAGGAAGGTTGATAACCTTTAAATTATGTAAGGAGAGTCCACATAAGATCCCAAATAGGAAATACTTGCTCTTCTCAAACTTGGGCTGGAAAATACATTTGAAAAAAGTTCCTAAGCTATTATAAATAATCAGTTATACAAAGTCACAATTAGACCAAAAAAGAACAAATTTTAGCTCCCTTTTCTAATTAATACCACAAGTTAGAAAAAAACTGGGTTTCAAAAGAATAAAAAAATTCAGACATTTTATAAATTATAATACAATTTAAACTTCTTCCATAATGTTCTTCCTATTCTTTATGTTTATTTGAACTCCTCTTGCCTGTACCTCTTAAATGAGAGATTATAGCCATATGCTGCCATGCCCAGCTTCTTGCATACTTTTCCAATATAAATTAACAATAAAGAACATTAATTAAATGAATTTTTGGTTACTGATAGTATTTCTGAAATGTAGAAACATGCTCAGGTGGAATTACAAATTTTCCTTTGGAATTTTAAGGTCCTGGCCGTCCAGTTCATGGAGACAGGTGACACTGAGGAAGGATGGTTGTTCTGCAGCAAGATTTCAATTTAGCAGAACGAATGGCAGATGAGTGTTCCGGAAATGATGGCGCCATTCGGCAATGCAGCCCCACGTGGAGCTTACCACTGGAGTGGCGCTCTGGGGCCACTCTGGCATCCTGTCTTACAATGTAGACTCTTTGCCTGCAGACGATCCTGTCAAGATGCCTTGTGCCGGGAGACGTCTTGAGAGCTGGTTTATGTCAGCACCAGGCCCTTGGACTATGACCTCTGAGCTCTGACAAAGTACTCGGGTGGTTCACTAAACAGAAACAGACCAATGCGGCCGCCCTCACTTTTCTTCTCCACATCTTGTCGTCCTCATTAGAGAAACCAAACCAAAACAACAAAAACTTTCCAGGCTAAAACCGCAGCCCAGGGAGGAAGCTTTCCTAGTGTGGCATTCCAGGATTCCTGCCCAGTGCCTTTCTGGCCATTAGCAGGTTCAGTGACTCACAGGATGTGTCTCAATTCTCCCTACCCTATTTCTCCTCTGCTGGAATTCTGAAATGAGTTAAAGGCAGCACAAACAATCTGCAAAGGCTTCTCCCAGTCAGTTTTCCATCTCATAATTTGTAATATGCACTCTGGTTCAACTCGATTTTGCTGTTTTTATCAAGCCATATACAAATTAAAATAAAAGTGTGTGTGTGTGTGTGTGTGTGTGTGTGTTTTCTACTGAACAGAACTGTATGGATGTGCTTAAAAGTGAGAGCTTTGCTGAGTGTGGTGCACTCCTACAATCCACGCATTTAGAAAGTGGATGTAGAATTGAAGTTCAAGGCTAGTTTAGAATATATAGTAACACACTGAATAAGACAACTTATAAAAAGATAAAAAAAACATTATAGTCAAAGGAATCAACCAACATTTCAGAATTACTAGTCTCTATTAGTTTACCAACAGTTTCTCTCTACTAATTTGAAACATTCTGCATTATAACTGTAAAAATTAAGGACACATGCCAGGACATGGTTTTCTACAAACTGCCTGCTCATGCCGTAGCACAGCTGCTGCTCCATGGTTGATGTGGTACTACTCAAAATAGAGAAGCCAGGCTGTACAGTCCTGAGTTTACACTATGGCTTGCATATTGCAGCATGAAATGTGTTTTATGAGAAAGACAGGACTTACATTGACTGGAAACCACATGTTGGAACCATTTTCAGGATACATGAACATTTCATATTTAGGGTCTGTCATCTCTTCAAATATACAGTGGAAGAACTCAGAACTCACTCCCCCACCCTCAGGACGAATTTCTTTAATAAATTCAACCTAAAGAAAGAAAATTTATTTCAAGGATTTTATTTAAAATATAGCTGTTTGCTCTTTATGGAAAAGTCTTCAGCCTGTTCTGGCCTTCTTGAGCTCAATACAATGCAAGATCCACCCAGCACTTCTCCTTCTCACATCCTGCCTTCCCTCAGTTTGCTGCCAAACAGTGAAAGCCAGGAAACTGTTTATTCTCAGGTTGATAAGACAGTGAGTAGATCCTTTAGACTGACACACTTAACCACTGGAAGAGGAACAATATCTTGATATGAAATTTGATATGCCTTAAACCCATGAGCCATGAAATTCTCACGTTATTCTACCTTCTCTGTCTTCATAGTAGCTTTCAGATTGAGCAACCTTGGTTCTAACGAACAGCCATTTGTGTTCTCCAGCCCCTACTCAAGGTACTTCTAGTAAGCATCCCTTCCAGTGAGTGAGCTTGGGCTAAGTATCTTTTCATTCACACACACACACACACACACACACACACACACACACACACACACACACACAC